TTAATTGAATTTCTTTATGTTGAACTGCATGAGTTCTTTACAAATTTTGGATACTAAGCCCTTATCAGATGTATCATTGGCAAATACGTTCTCCCATTCAGTGGGTTGCCTTTTCATTGTGTTGATGGTTTCTTTTGCTGTGATCTCAATTCATATGCATCTTGCCACCAGCTACCTTTTAAAAATTAACTGAAAATTATAAAAATAGGAAACATTACACTGGCTAGTATAAAAAAAAAGGCCTATGCCCTACAAAGTAGATTAACAAACATTAACATTTTGGCACATCTGGTCAAGGTTGTTTTTTTTTAATCGAATGTCACAGACTTAGTTCAGATCCCTTGTGATCTCCCCCCTGACTGCATACCCCTTCCTTTCTCCCACCCCAGAGGCAAACACTGTTCTGAAGTTGCTATGCATTGTTCATGCCTACGTTTTCATACTTTTACTGTATATATGTACACCATAAACAATGTATATTGCTATTAGGTGTTTGTAAATTAAAAAAATACAAGTATTATTATACTGTGGCCTTCATTTTACAACTTGCTTTTGTCACTCAACATCATTTCTGAGGTATATTTGTATCAGTACAGATGGACTGAGTTTGTCTGCTTCATGATCATTATGAGTAGGTGATACTGCATCCATTCTCTTATTGATGGATGTTTCCGTTTTTCCAGCTGTTTTACTATTATAAACTAACCTCCTTGTACATGTCTCTTTGTGCAAGAGTTTTTCTGGAGCAGTGGTTCTCCCAGGGGGTGGTACTGCCCCTTGGTCATTTTGGAATTTATGAGGGCATCTTCCGAGGTCTACAGAGCAGGGCTGGAGATGGCAGGTGTTCTGCAGGGCAGGGACAGCCCCTCACAGGGGCAAGGTGCCCTGCGCCCTATACAACTTCTGTGTCCCACAGGACACTCAGTTATAATCTGAACCTAGAATCTAACTTTTTCTTTATATAAACATAATGTCATTTTTGGCACAGTTGAATATAGTTAAAATTTCCAACAATGCAACTCTAATGTAAATCAAGGGGAAATTATTCTTATTTGTGGTTTGGGACTTCAACAAGAGTTGTTCATCGCTCTAGAAAAATCCCGTAACTGAAGGCAGCCCAGCCCGTGGTATTTGCGTTTCCACCCAGTGCACCTGCACCGGCTTGCATTTCGTAGCGTCTGCGTTCCTGGTGATGCTAAGTTTAGGTGCAGGCATCTGACTGCTATGCTTCATTATGTATTCTAGCGTAGTCAGCCCGAGCATTTGTATCCTTAAGCATATGCTGTTTTATAATGAATTGCTTTCCATTTAAAATTGGTTTCTGTGTATGATATAGAGATCTAATTTTATTATTTTCTGATTGGATAATCATTTGTTCCAATGCTGTCTATGAAATCCACTGACTCATAAAGCCAGCTCTGTCCTGTGCAAAGCTCTCAGAAATGCATGGCCCAGTTTCTGGGCGCCCTGTTTCGTCCTGCTGGTCCAAGTGTCTCTATGCCGCTGTCACACTGTTTTAATTACCTTGGTTTTATAATGTGTCTTGTGGCAGTTGGTAACAAGAAAGGCAAGTTTCCATCCTAGTTCTTAAAATTGTTTTTGCTATTCTTGGGCTTTTGCTTTTCCATATGAATTTAGGATCAGTTTTCAAGTTCCACAAAAAAATTATTTTGAGATTTTGGGTTAGGATGGAATTGAATTGATAGACTAAGGAAAATTAAGACCAGTTAAAGTGGCACCATTCCATGCAGGGATATGGGTTATATCTCTGTTTGGGTCAGTGATATTTTTCTAATAAGGTCTTTAAAAATATATTTGAATACAATTTTATAATTTCTGCCATAAATATCTTACACAACTTTCATTGGATTTTTTCCTACTTATACATATATACATATTCATATACACATCTTTTTATTGTGCAAGTTTCAAATATATTCAAAAGTATGGAAAATGGTATATAGCAAACACTTATCAGCTAGTTTCAAGTTAGCTTATGACCAGTCTTTATATATTAGTTCCCTTCACCTCATCTCCCCCAGATAATTATGAAGTTTCTGGACATCATTTTCTGTTCTCTGTGTGATGTGGGTATATTATACATATCATAAATTATTTTTTAGAAATGTAATCACATTTAAAATGCATCTTTCACTTAAAGAACAAACAAGCAATTCCCTAATATTAAATACCCAGATACCGTCCTTGAAGATCCCCCGGCTGCCTCACCAAGGTTTTGCACAGTCAGTTTGTTTGAATCAGGACCCAGACCAGGTCCACGTATTACATGTGGCTCATAGGTCTCTTCAGACTCTTTCTGCAAAGGAAACTTTCTATTATAAACCTTCCTGTGAAACCTACCGCACACACACACACACACACACACATGCACGCACAGAAAAGTATACAAATCAGATAAAATTTTAAAAAAATAACAAAGCCATGTAACCAACACCTAAGTCAAGAAAAAATTTTAGGGGCCCCAGGCTCCCCTTCTGCTTCCCCACTCACTACTTTGTGCAAGGTAACCGTACTCCTGACTTCTAACCCCAAAATCAGTTTGACCTGTTTTTGAACATGATGTCCATGGAATTACACAGTACAAACTCTTATGCCTCTAGCTCTTTTTCAGTCACTATCTGTGAGCCTCACCCCTATTTCTGGGTATATTCATAGTTTGTCCATTCTCATTGCTTTATGCTATTCCACTGTATGAATGAGTAAATCGTATGTATACCACACTCGATCCATTTGATGAATGAATATTTGGGTGGTGTCTGTGTTTAGCTATTTCCAATAGGGCTGCGTTGAACTTGGTGCATGTCTTATTGAATGTACGTGTGCACTTCTGTTGGGAATGCACCTAGGAATAGAGGAGCTGGGTCTGGAACTGGACACGTGTAGCGTCAGCTGTGTCAGATGCAGCCTGCAAAGCGGCCGTGACAGTTCGCACTCGCCCACACTCTGGCAGCAGTTGGTGTTGTCTGTCATTTTCGTTTTAGCCATTCTGGCGGGTGTCTAGGGGTACTCCACTGTGAGTCCCATTTGTAATTTCCTGATGACTAATAAGGTTCAGTACCTTTTCCCATACTTACTGCCCATTTGTATATTCTTTCCGTGAAATGTTTATTCTTATTTTTTACCTGCTTGATCTGTCAGTTTCTGAGAGCGGTATATTAAAATCTCCTACTAAATTTGTGGGCATGTCCATTTACTGCAGTAATTCAATTTTTGGCCTTATATATTTTGAGTTGTATCTCGTTGATAAATTATTCCTTTTGTGACTCTTTATTAATTTTTTTCAAAACTTTATTCTTTATTAATTTTTCCAAACTTAACTTTCTATTTTCCCTGGTACTAATATTGCTTCCCCAAGTTATTTTTTTATTTTGTTTTGATTGTTTTTTAAATTGTGGTAATAAACACATAACATTAAATTTACCATCTTTGGTGTTCACCTATATGTTTTTAGAACTTGTATATTTACCTTAACAAAGCCTACAGGTAATCATTAACTCTCACCTCCTCCAGAGCGAAAAAATAACCAAAGGTAATAATGATTTAACTTGGAACCATCCTTTGTCATCTTCCACATAACCGCCAGCAAATATTTTAGCTCTACCTTGTTTTAAACTAAAAAAAAGTAGTCCTTACTTCTCATTACAGAAAGCTCTACTGTCAACACTTCCTCGTATTTTCCTCACCATTCCTCCCTATGTATCACGCCAACTTTCTGGGTTCGTTTTCTTTCTTGCTAAAGTGTATCTGTCCACAAGAGGTGAACTCCATTTCCGCCTTTGTGTGTTGGAAAGCATCTCTGTTTTACACTCACTCATGGGGGAGCTGTCGTGCTGACTGCAGTGCATCCCTGCCGAGGGGTCTCTGTGGGCCTCTGCGGGGACCCCGTGGGCTTCTCACTCTTAGTCTGGTTTTCCGGCTGACCTTGGTCCTTGGGATTCCATATCACACCGGCAGCGTGACTTGACCCCCACACCTCATGTGATGGAGGGTTGGCGTTCAGATTCTCTTGGGGGTCTCCCTTTTTATCCATGACCTAAGGCACTTGGCCAGCATTCCTCCAAGTCAGCAGCAAACTTAGTCCCTGTTTCAAATGCAGGTGAAGCCTTTATGCCTCACTTGTTCTCCGGATCGCAGGTCTGAGGCCTCATCTGTCCCGAAGCAGACACTACATGGCTGTGTCAGGTTCCAAAGACCTTTGGGCTCAGCTCCTGCTCGCCACGCAGGCTTCGAGTTGCATTGCTCCTGACAGCATTTAAGGGTTTTTCTTTATTGCTTTTGAACTCCCCTGTGTATTAAATTCTTTTTGTCCTATTTTTAGAGCATTTTTCTGTGTTTGTTTTTGTGGGGGGCACTTTCCTTGTCAGCTCTGTCCCTGCTCTTCCTACAGCAGGTTGACCAGAAGCCTCAGTTGTCTTTCTAAGACTAGATATGATCCTGCCACTCCTCCTTCACTTGGTTTCCGCGAAGGACTTGTTAGCACTGCTTCATGTATTTACCCAACAAACATTTACTGAATAGAATCTCTGGTGAGAATGGCGGGCACTGTGGTAAGAAAGATATAAAGTCTCTGTCCTCGTGGAGTCTTCTGTTTTACTTGGAAAGACAATAGAAGATGGAACTGTAAAAGATCAATAAAAATGTGAACTACACTCTGCGAGATGTGCTCTGGAGGACCTGGAGTGACGGGGAGTACCTTTTGGGGGGCCACTTTAGCTAGGCCAGGCAGGGAAGACCCCTCCCAGGAGGCCACACTGAGAGTGAGCGGGAGCCACGCCCCCTCTGCTGCCCTCCTCTCTGCCCACCCTTCCCTCCACACTCCGCTCCGGCCACACTGATTCTGCCCAGAGGAGCCCACGCCAGGTCGCCTCCTGACCACCTGGGTTTGCATTGCACTGTGTTTTCCTGTGTTTCAGAGGGTGATGTGCACAGCTGTTTACGCAACTGTGACCTCCAACTGGCCGTGAGCTTCTGTCCGGTGATGCGTCTCATTTACCCTGTGAGCCCAGCATGCAGCCCAGTGCTGCACGTGGTGGGCACCAGAAAGGGGGATTGAATACACACTTGGCTTTATTTTTCAGCAGTTCTTGCTTAGGGCTTCTTTCCCAATACCTTTATAACTGGACTTCTCAGAGGTAATGATTTTTGTGGTATGTAAGCCATCAGAGTAAAGAAAACCATCACCCCGAGGAGGAAGTTTTTGCTTAAGACTTACCTCTGACACCATCAGAGAAAAGCAGGGGTGGTCTGGTTGTGTGGTATTACCCTATGGTGGGTCGAATGGCTCCCCCAAAAGATACGTTCACATTCTAACCCCCAGAACCTGGGGATGCGACCTTATTTAGAAAAGGGGTCTTTTCAGATGCAGGCAAGGTTAAGGATGTTGAGATGAGATGAGATCAGGTCATTTGGGTAGACCCCCTAATTCAATGGCAGGTGTCCTCATAAAAGACGGAAGAGAAAACAGAGACACAGAGAAGCCAGCAGAAATTGGAGGCATGTGGCCACAAGCCAAGGGGTGCCTGAAGCCACCAGAATCTGGAGGGGGGTGGGAAAGATTCTCCTCCAGAGCTTCCGGTGGGAGCGAGGCCTGGACGGCACTTGATTTCTGACTCTGGCCCCGGGGCTGTGAGAGAGCCGTGGCTTTCCGCTGTTGTGAGCCGGCCGACTTCATGCATCTCTGTCCCACTGCGCCTCAGTTACCTCTTCTGTAACATAGCCTAGTCATGCCTTTCTCAGAAGCTTATTGCCACGATTCGATGAGAGATATTTGTAAGGCACTCCGCACACAGGGATGGCTCAGAAATAACGGTGTCCCCCCTTCTTCAAGGACTTAGGTGTTTGCTTCCTTTTGTGAGTAAAACCTCATCAACAAAGTGGGGCAGCTCTGTCTGTGATTGCTTGGTGAGTCGAAGGCCATACCAGGGACTTACTGCGAAAGCTCCAGCTCCCACATCGGCCGTGGCTCCCTGGGGCCTGGGGCCTTTGACAGTGTTCCATGGGGTTTGTATCAAGGGAGAGTTCAGCTTCCTCCCGCGGGCCGAGGGAAGACAGAGCAGATAGCAAATTTGGAATGACCCCCCCAGAGCAGACAGCCACCACTCAGCCCTCACCAGCAAGGAAGGTTTGGTTCTAAGTGTCTAATTCCTGCTAAGGCCTCTGAGACTGGACATTCCCTAAAACCTGACACGGCAGTCATCAGAAATCCCTCACAATGGTTTGCACTTGCTGCATTTGGCTGAATGCTTCTATACGCCCGGGAGCATGCAGGAGGTAGGCAGTGCCCGGAGCTGAGGGTCCTGCCCTGTGGCCCAGGTCCAAGTGGCGTGCAGGGCTCACGCCTCCTCTCCCCACAGATGGCCGGCACGGTGCTCGGAGTGGGGGCTGGCGTGTTTACCTTGGCTCTGCTGTGGGTGCTGGTGCTGCTGCTGTGCGCGCTGCTTTCCAGAGCCCCCGGCCTGGCCAGGTAAGGCTTCCTCTCCACCCCCGGAGCCCACAGCAGAACAAGGAACAGTGAAATCGCTGATGCTCAGTGCACATTTAGAACTCAGAAGGGCTTCTTTGTAATCTCCGGTACATTGTAACCTGTCCTCATTCGCACTGTGTCCCAGGCTCTGAAGCAGAGGCGGGAGGAAAGGGAAGTGGTATTTTTCAGTTCTCACTGTAGCGGAGATGGGGGCACATGAGCTGAAAAGAAAACCTGCTTTCACTGCCTGTTGAATTTCTTAGCTTTGTACATGTGTAAGTTTTGCAACTGTTCGGACTGTGGCCAATGCTCGGTCCAGTCCTTGAGGCTCTGGCCCTGGGCCCAGGAAAGCAGAAGACCTGCCAGATGATGGCCGGCTCTCCATGAGGCCCAACTCCAGAAGACCGGCCACAAGCCCCTGGAATAGCACTGTGGTGTCGTATGCTCCAGCCAGACAGTGTCAGGATAGAGCTGCGAGTTACAGAATTTACTGAGGTGTTCTGGTCTAAAAACAAGCACAGAAGTAGTGCGGGGAGGGCTGCCTCGGTTTTTCATGATTACAACTGCGCAGAGGCAAAAATATAAACTACCAGTTTCCACTCGTAGGAGGAGTTTTGGGAGTGACTGGGGATAAAAGGGAATGCACCCAGTTGGTACCTGCCCAGGAAGACGGGCTTTGGACAAAGGGGAAAGCATGTCTGCATTTCTGGGGCCAGTGCAGACCGCAGCTTCCTGGGCATCGCCAATGGGCCAAGCCTGGCAGTGTGGCCCTAGGGAGGAGTCGTCAGGCCTGACTGACAGGAGGGGACGGGAAACAGCGCTGACACCCTGTCTCCGGCCCAGGTTCTCTGTCCTGTTCATCTTCCTTGGGGCTCTGATTGTCACTGCTGTGCTGCTGCTCCTCCCCCGAGCCAGTGAGACCCCAGCCCCGGAGGTCGAAGTGAAGGTAGGACGATTGGTTTTATTTCGCCTCCCAAGGTGTAACTCTTCTTTCCCTCGACCTAGACCTTGCTCTGGCCCCTCTGTGGTCCCTGATGTCAATGTGGCTGAACTGTGTGAGGAGATCTGTAAAGTTACAGCAATGATGATGGAAGCTGGGGGACGGGCAGGGAGGGGTGTTGCGGGGAGGGGAGCGGCGGTTTAAGTTGTTTTCTGACGCCCATCAGGGTGAAGGAGCAATGTGTCTAAAACCCGCCTCATCCTATGAGCGGAGAGAGGGGAAGAGCTCAGAGTAGGAGCAGGCCTGGTCCCGTTCCGGCCCGGTTCAGACACTCCATCCAGCACGTAGGCCCGCAGTGCCCTCAGGATGCTGAGTGGCATGCTTTTCTGCCTCCACGGGCTCACATTTTCTGATGTGAGAAGGCGCTTCTCATAGAGAAGAGCGGTGAGGAGCGGAAAAGGCTTCTGGAAAGCAGAAGTCGTGCGCATGGACTCGCACAGCGCTCAGCGGCCTCCTGGCAGTTAGTCCCTTCGGGCCTCCTTCCCGGGCCCCGCCTGCCAGAGCCCCTTCTCTGGGCCGATTGTGTTCATCTCTCTCCTGGGCCTTCTCTGGATGCACCGCTTGTTCTGGCTCATCCCTGACTGGCCTGGCTTTGTCCTGCACAGCTGGTCTCAGATCCCTGGACCTTGATAATGGGGCTGACCTCTGTGCCATCATTCCTTCCATCAGTTTTTCCTCCCAATCTCCACTTCAGCTTTTTCAGCTGGAGTGATGAGAATAGCTGACATTTTGGGGGGGGGGATTATTGTGCACAAGATCCCGTGGTAAGCACATCATGTGCATTATCTCCGTTAATGCATTACCTCTGATTACCCTAAGCAGTAAGGAGTAGGGACCGGTGCTGTCCCCAGTTCATAGATAAGAACTCTGAAGCTCCAGGAGGTAAGAGCTACTCGCCCCAGTCAGACGTATTTAGGAAGAGAGTGAGGACTGAAGCTGAGCTCTGTCTTCAAAGCTTTCATTGTTGGGGACTCAACAGACTATCAGGGGCCAGCACAGAGGGTTCATAAGGGACAGCTTTGACACTAGACAGTAGTGCACAAAATCATAACTTCTGACCTAAAATTGGCATCTATTTGCAACTCTGTCTAGGATTCACTATGGCAAAAGGGAGGAAAAGTGTTCGGAAAACTCCGAGGGAAATAATACTTAGCGCACCACGGAAGGAGTCGTCCCACCCATGTGTTCCTCTTGCAGGCACTCACCAGCCACTGCCAGTGTGAGTGCTGTGTGTGAGCGAGGGCAGGCCCCCACCTCGGCGTCCCCGTCTTGCGGGGGCATCGAAGAAGGCTGCCGTGTTTCTGGATTGCTGCAGATGTGGTGTTGGTAGAGGCACAGAGCAGCCGCTGCTCTAAAGTAACCCCTCCGCCCTCTGTCCTGGGAGTTTCAGACCCAGGGGAATGGGGTTTGAGCAACACACATTCATCAGCATGGCTGGCAGGACCGGAGTTCTCGTTTTCAGGTTTTGAGAACCGGCCCCTGTAGCTGCCTGGCTCAATACCTATCAATAATACATGGCCTGGGCCTTCTGCACCCAAGGCCTGCTAATTGGCTAATTAAAAAGTGAAACGTGTCGAACGAGCAAACATGTAGCCCGCAGGAGACTTGTTCAGTACTGGAGCCAAGGTCAAAGTTATGTTAAAGCTGTTTGATCAAACTGACCTTTGTTCTAGGTTGGCTGTGGGGGTGTCTCTGGAGCGGCCCTTTCTTCTTGGTGTCTTTGGGTCTCAGTGATCATGGAAGCGTTTGGGCTCGACAGTGTCGCCCCCTGTCACTACCATCCGACTGCTGCTGTAACAAATTGCACAAATGCGTTATCTTAAGAGTGAGCTAGAAGTCCGAAATCAGTCTCCCTGGGCTAAAAGTCCCCCAAGGGGTGGGAAGGGCTGACTCCCTTTCTAGAGGCTCCAGGGGCGCTAGAGGCTCTGTTTTCTTGCCCTTTCCAGCTTCTAGAGGCTGCCCCTGGCTGGGGGTCCCCTTGCCCCTCCTTCGGACGCTGCTTCCCTCCTCTGTTTTTTAAGGATGCTGTGCTTACACGGTCCCGCCTGGATTATGTTAAGTTCCACTAATTAGCAAGCTTAGTTCCATGTACAGCCTTAATTCTGCTTCACCACGCAATTCACAGTTTCTGAGAATTAAAATGTGGGCCTTCTTGTACCCTTCTGCCACAGTCACCTTTCACGTGTTAGATTCTCTTCCGGGGACTGGGTTTTCAAAGCTTCTTGAAGCTGTGAAGTAACCCAGTCCACTGGTTTGTGTAGCTGCTCCACTGGGTCCACGGAGTAAATGTCTTTCCCCTGCCCAAACGGAAGCACCGCCACGCGGCACGAGCCAAGCTCCAGCAGCGGGCAGCAGACAGGAGGGTGAGACAGCCCTGACCCTAGGTCTTTGTCAGCAAAGACTAACAGCTCTGCGGCCTCATGCATGACGGGTCAACAGGCAGCCAGCTGTGTGATTTGGGCACCTTATCTATCCCCTTAGTGTTTTATTTTTTATTTATTTTTTACTGAATTTATCGGGGTGACAATGGCTAATAAAACCATACAAGTTTCACGTGTACAACCCACTAAAACATCCCTGTATGTGGCACTGCGTGCTCACCAGCCACAGGTCGCTGTCCGCCCCTTCTCCCCGCTTTGCCCCTTTCCACCTCTGCCACCCCCCTCCCTGGCAGTCGCCACACTGTTGTCTGTGTCCAGGTCTCATATGTCTACACACACGCGCGTGCATGCGTGTGCTTATTCCCGTCACCTTTCTTCACCCCCCAAACTGACAGCTCTCAGTCTATCAGTCTGTTCTGTGTATCTATGCTTCTGTTTCTATCTTGTTCCTTAAATTATCTTATTTATCGTGTTCCACGTACAAGTGAAATCATATGGTGTTTATCTTTCCCTGACTGACTTATTTCACTTAGCATAATATTCTCCAGGTCCATCCATCCATTCAGGGTCTTTTGGTAAGATTGTCTTCTTTTTCACAGTTGAGTAGTATTCCTTCTGTAAATGTACCATCGTTTTTTTATCCACTCGTCTACTGATGGGCACTTAGGCTGCCTCCAGATCTTGGCTGTTGTAAATAACACTGCAATGAACATAGGGGTGCACATATTCTTTCAAATTAGTGTTTCGGGTTTCTTCAGATATGCTGCCAGAAGTAGGATCACTGGGTTAAAGGTAGTTCCATTTTTCACTTTTTGAGGAAACTGAATCCCCAGTGGCTGCACCAGTCTGCATTCCCACCGACAGCGCATGAGGGCTCCCCTTTCTCCACATCCTCACCAGCACTTGTTGTTGGTTGATTTATTGACAATGGCCATTCCAACAGGTAGTGAGGTGATATCTCACTGTGGTTGTAATTTGCTTTTCTTTGGTGATTAGTGATATGGAGGATATTTTTATATGTCTATTGGCCATCTGATTTTCCTCTTTGGAGAAGTGTTCATTCAGGTCTTTTGCCCATTTCTTAGTAGGGTTGTTTGTCTTCTTGGTGTTGAGTTGTACAAGGAAATCTATAGATTCGATGGAATTCCTATTAACATACCAATATTTCACAGACAAAGAATATTCCAAAAATTTATATAGGACCACAAAAGACCCTGAATGGCCTCAGGAATCTTGAGAAAGAAGAACAAAGTAGGAGGTATCACCCTGCCTGATATCAAACTATACTATGAGGCCATTGTAATCAAAACAGCCTGGTACTGGCATTGGAACGGGCATATAGATCAATGAAAGCCCAGAAACGAACCCGTGCTTTTATGGTAAATTAATACTTGAAACGGAGGCAAGAAAATAAAAACAGAATAAAGACAGTCACTTCAATAGATGGTGCTGGGGAAACTGGACAGGTACATGCAAAAGAGTGAAACTAGACCATCAACTTACACCATCCACAAGAATAAATTCAAAATGGATAAAAGACTTAAATGTAATTCACAAAACTGAAAATTCTAGAAGAAAAAACAGGCAGTAAAATCTCAGACAGCTCTTATTTTCGCCAATTATGTCTCCCAGGGCAAGGGAAAGAAAGGAAAAAGTAAACAAATGGGACTACATCAAACTGAAAAGCTTGCGCACAGCAGAGGAAGCCCTCAAAATGAAACGGCAACCCACTGCCTGTGCGGGGGAACACGGTCCCCAGTGACCCATCTGATAAGGGGCTGATTTTCTCCTAGCGTTTTAGTATCGCAAGCAAACGGCCGTTCCCCCTAACCCTTGGAATGCTGGCTTGTGAATATCTCGGTTCGGAACTCTTCTGATGAGTTTTAAAGGGCTGCCTTCTCATTTCGAAAATGAACCCTCCGGAATTGGCAATGGGTTGATGATTTTTAGCTTAGGATTTTACATACACGGGATTTATTATAGTATTGTATTTTTAGGTGTGTTTAAAATTCTCCGTGATAAAAAGTTAACAACAGAAAGGAGCTTTTCTAAGATCAAGCACATTTCTCGAGAACATTTTCAGATAACATAACACATGATTCCAGAACACAAAGGAACTCATCCAGGGTGTTCAACATGTTTATGAATCTAACTCGGCCATTTGTTTCCTGTACTTCATTCTTTCTTTATCTTGCATTTCTGGCACAGAGAGTTAGGAACAGGTTCTTCCCGACCACTTACGGAGGAGACCCAGGGCAGGGTGCTCCTGGGAGTTACAAGTATGAGCAGACCCTGGGGCCCATTCATCACAGGCTGCAGAGGAGCGGAGCAGGTGCCGGAGCGACAGTGACTCCCTTGTCCATGTTTCCTTCTCCAGATCGTGGATGCCTTCTTCATCGGTCGCTATGTCCTGCTGGCCTTCCTCACTGCTATCTTCCTTGGAAGTCTCTTCTTGGTTCTAACTAATCACGTCCTGGAGCCAATCTACGCCAAACCACTGAGGTCCTACTGAGCACTGTTCACAGAGACCCTCACTCGATGTTGTCGCTGAGCAGAACGGCCCCGCTCGGGGCCTTGTCTTCATAGTCCTCGTGGCTGAAGATCAAGGGAAAATCCGTTCGTTGCTAAGACAAATTCCCTGAGCCCTGTCTCCCCGACACGTGGTTACAAAATTGTCTCTTTGGAGGTAGATTCTTGCCTGCTTACGAGGGTCACTGCTCCCTTCTCAGCACCTGCACCTCATGTTCTCCATCTGTTTCGTAAGGGGACTAGCAACAGTGCGTGAGCTGCTAGGAGTAGGTTTTCAGTCAAGACGCCAGTACGTGGATTTGGGAAACAGTCCCACCTGGCTTCTGCTGTCCAATAAATGAAAGAATTTGGTCCTTTTGATAATCCATAAAATTCTTAGTTAGAAGGGTAGGGTCATTTGGAAAGGAAAGGTCATTTCAATGGGATGAAGCGGAAGACTTACTTGGGTGCTGGTTGCTGACCACTCACTGTGTGTATCGGCACAGGGCCACAGCGGCGCCCGCCTCAGCTCTAATAACACAGGACACACCACCAGAGGCCCGGCTCTCACGTCAGACTCTTGGCCACAGCTTTCTGAGTCTGGTATTTATGTATTTCAGGGTTTGCGAAAGAGTGTGGAAGGGTCCATTGTTTGTCTTGCTGCTATGTATCTCTGGAGTCTTTTCCTCCCAGAATTTGGTGGCCTTTCTGTGACTTCCTTAATTACTTAAGAGTCCATTTGGGGTTATCATCATCTCTTTCATCTTGAAAGTAGCCCTTTCTCCAAAGCTGATGAGGAACAGGTATTCCCAGGACTAGATATAACTTTGTGCTGGTCTGAGATCCGAGACCAGGTGAAATGTGTCCCCACGTGGAGGGGCCGGCTCCCCTCTGACAGCCTCCTCCTGCCCCTCCAGAGCCATTTGAAGACGGATCTCCTGGCTCAAAATTAAGAGCCAGAAAACAAGCTGGAAAGAGAGCTCTGACTGAGTACGTGCTGTTCTGTCAGCAGCGCACTAGTTCCCTTGAAACAGAATTTACTTACTGTTTACGACGATCTCTTACCATCCCCATTTTAAAGCAGTGAAAAAGTAAAGGCTGTAAGAGACTTGCTGACTTGCCCAAGCTTTCCAGGACAGCCAGCACGCACACCAGCCGGGCAGACGGCAGGGCCTGTCTTCCCCTGGATGAAGGCACGCTGAGCAGCCTGGAATTTTGGTGGGCAGTGCGGGGAACTTGGGGCCCCTTCTCCTCGGCTGTCTCTCCTGGGCCCTGTTGTCATTGTAGAGACAGTCCTGCCGCCCCAGCCAGGTTAAGCTCTAAGCTAAAAGCGGAGCAAACTGGTGACTGGGGAGCCATGGGCCGGTGAGGTCAGCTGCGATGACCCCCACCTACCCTTGAACCCTGTCTCACTCAGTTTGGAAAAGCTTCGCAGGTACGGCTCTGTCACAGAAGGCTTCAGAGGAAATAGTTTCTCAGTCTGGCCTGGAGCCCATAGCTAAGAAAAGAAAGCGCTCCCCCCACCGCAGCAGATCAGAGGGAGAAAGAAGGACACGGAAATGCGGAGGGAGGTGGGGCAAGGAGCGAGGCCTGCTGTCGCTCCTCGCCTGGGACCCTGGCACCGAGGCCCCCGGGTCCTGGCTGTCCTTGCTGCTGTCGAGCCGGCCCAGTGACTCCTAACAAAGCACAGGCTGCCACTTGTCACCTTCTCCTGACAGACTTGCTGAAAAAGCAAATCCGGGAAAACTCTTACAGGTTTCTGGCCATGAGTTCATCTTTTTTATTCCCTAACAAAGGTGTCTAAGGATTAGATTAATGGACAATGGCAACCAAGTTTGAAGGGGCTGCTTCCATGGAGAAAACCGTGTTATGGTTGAAAACGAAATTTTTTTCACCAACACCATTACCATCCAATTTTTGTTGTTTCCACAGATGTAAGCGGCAGGCTCATGTGGTAAGGGCAAAATCCTACTTGGAACCAAGTATATATTTTTAGCTCAGCCGCCCTGTATAGAGCCTGTCTGAGACTACCAGCCACAGTGAAAAGGAGGATGGATTACTTTCTGCCTTCACACTCAAAGCCGCCACATTCAGCCACCCCAAACCCTGCGGGGCTGGGGTATGAAGTAAAAAAGTCTGTCGGGGCACAAAACGGCTTTCCCCGAGAGTTCTGCAGGGGCACCCCCTAACCAACGTCCCATAGGGCACCTCTTGTGCACACAGCCTTCCCGGAGCCGTCCCTTAGGTAGAAACAAATTAGCTTAGTGCCCCCATTCACCATTGTTTGATCAGGTGGTGCTATGCTTATTCCCTGTCCAGATGGATCCTGTGGCAAACAGACTGTGGTAACTAACCCCTACTCTTTAGGGGTGGGGAGGGAGAATAAATCAAGGCCTCTGATTTATTCTATAAGAAAGTGAGTTTACAGCCTTCTAAAACTGCGTGCTGGCAAAAGCTAAATCAGCAGGACATCACTTTCCCCTGTGCAGCGCCCACGTTTGTCTTATCCACTAGGCGGCGCTATGCTGTGTTTTACAAGCCTCTCAAACCAGGGAAAGCACACTAGGTAATTTTTGGACAAGCTCCTTAAATTTCTCATTAAAAAAAATGAAAGTAAAGCGAACTTTCTCTATTGATGCATGATATCAGACAGTTAATAAACAATTCACAGTTTTTGGACCAGCGTTCTGTTACTCTTCGCTCCTGTGGCAGATGCTTCCATTGCCTGCCACGCGCTCATTGCCGTTTGGGCTGATTTTAACTCATGGATAAAGAAACCTGCCGTGGTGGTTTGACAGATGAGACACAGGCATTGAGATACCAGGGTTTTAAGTTTGTTGAAGTTTCACAGCTAGTTAGTCGAGGGGCTCAAATTTGACAGTAGGATTCCTGATACCTCATTTCTCAAGACAGTTTAAACATCATTTTGGGATTTCAGACGACGCCTTATTTTTCAATTGGTTAATAGTATTTCTTAGCTATTTGTACCCCCCCCCCACTTTCCTAACCCATATCCAAAAGAAATGGTGAAAGTTTTGTTAAGAATTCCTAAACATTTAATCATAACTTTTTGGCTTAAACCTTCAAGTATTTGGAGGAACAAGTTTCCAGATGTGGGAACCGGAGCCACAGGGGAATGAATCTTGAAAATGCTGATTATCCTCAGAGGGACCTAGAACTCAAGACTGGAGGTTTCATAGTTCATGGAGTTCAGTCTTTGGTCTGTATTTCCATCTCCATATTTGGGAATATTCCGTTTTTCACATCCAGAAATCGCAGTTTTTATTGTATTGAACAAACACCTGCTGCAGATTTTTCTAAGTGCTTTGTAAGTATGTGTGGTCCTCACAGCGGCCCTATGAAGCAGCTGCTCCTAATATCCCCACTTCACAGGTGGGGGCAGGTGCAGAGTGGTGCGCTGATTTGCTTGAGGTCACTCAGCAAAGGGGTAGACTGGAGCCAGAATCTGGAGTCAGGCAGTTTGGTCCAGTGAAGCTCTTAATGACTCTATACAATGTTGCCTCATAAGATGAAAACCAAGAAGAAGAAAAAAATATATGAAGGACCAGGGTCAGGTATTGCAAAGTCCAGTTGATAGAAATAGAAGAGGCCAGAGCCTAGTGGAAAACCCAGAATCTTAGCGATCGGCCAGGAATTCGGGCAAAGCAGTCACACCCCTCGGAGACGAGTTCGTTGGTCATCTGTGGTTTTGGCAGGTCTTTGCTCTGTTGGACTTTGGCCCCCTTCTTGCTCAGTGACCCTGAACGATTGGGTAGCTCCTAGAATGAGTTCTCAGGGAGGGCTTACACAGCGATCTCTCTCTCTTAAGCACTGTCCACCTGCACAGTTTGGTACTTGCTGGTTTTCAGAGGCACCGATGGAAGACTCAAAGCCACAAGCCACGAATGTGTGTTTCTTGATCTGTGTCTCTAGCAGGTCATGGCAGCTGCTGTTAAAAGGGAATAAAAAGTTTCCAAGTCCCCTAGTCCGATCCCCACCCCAACATGTCTAAACTTGTCTGAGTTTCCTGGGACCTGAGAAATGGCAGTGGGATCCAACCAGTGCCCAAACCCGTGGACAGAAGGATGAAGTTGTTTTCCGGTTTCCTGCTTCCTGTTCGGTAACCAACGCCCACTTAGCAGGGTTCCTGCCTTCAGAGGGCTCTTGGATTGGGACGAGTGTGGCACCTCTGAGCTGCTTCAATGCCCCTGGACATCCTCTTCACTGTTTTTTAGCCTCTGGGGATGTCTTTGGTTTCCTGTCTTCAAACTGATGTCACCCAGCTTTACCCTGAGAGCAGGCTGTAGTTCCCTCCAGCTGCTGGGACAGATTACAGCCCACTCGGTGGTTTAGAACACATGTATTATCTTACAGCTCTGGAGGCCAGAAATGGGAAATGGGTTCCACGAGGCTCAAGTGAAGGTTCTGGCGGCTCTAGTGGTGAGTCCCGGCGTCTTTCCTGGCTCCCAGAGGTGCTCACAGCCCTTGGCCAGTGCGCACTTCCTGTGTCTTCAAAACCAGCATCTTCTCATCTGACACCCAACCCTTTGGCCTCCCTGTTTCATTTCTAAGGAGCCATGTGATTACCTTGGGCTCGCCCTGATAATCCAGGGTAGCCCCCCAGTCCCCCGGTCCTCAGGTCCTCAGGTCCTCAGGTCCTCGGTCACATCAGCTGTGTACGATAACCTATTCACTGGCTCCTGGAATTGAGGTGTGACCGCTTGGGGGAGGCGCGGCCTTCAGCCCACTGGAAAGTATACGGCCGCACCTCCCTTCCCTAAGAATCGCCTCCTTCCACCCTCCATCTTCCATGCCCTCTCTCGCCTCACCTCGCCCCTTCCTATACCCAGTCCACCCCTTCCTTTCCAGGGTCAGCCCCAGTCCTTAGGGTTCCCACCCTGACACTCAGGATACGTTCATAATTCCCGTCCCCTGCTCCCAGTGTAGCGGCGGCCTCTGCGCGCTCACACCCTGGGAGAGCCGCTTTCCCTCCCTCCTGGTGGCTGCTTTCCGCCCCCGCTTCCGCACTCGCCCAGCCTCCCAACGGATCGCTAAAGGAGAAATGTAGAGTTATTGCTTTTTAATTACAAGTGCTATTGTAACATCTATAAGGAAGAACACTTTCAGCTTAATTGAGACCAAATGTGAAGTTAAATTAAATGAATAACTAATTAATGGAATGCTCCCGCACGAGCCCCCAGTGAATGCTGAGGCCCAGAGAGGAGGCAGGTGCCGCCCGGGGACCAGGCCTGCCCAGCGCCGGGCTGGGGCTGCGAGTCGGGGCCGGGAGGCCGCGGCAGGTCGGACCTCAGGCCTCTCCCCACGCTCCGGCCCACAGCCACGTCCCCCTGGCTGAGGCCAGGCTTTGCACCCACGTCTGTCCGTCCCTGGTGCCACACGTACCTGCGGGCGGGCGGGCGTGCCATTTCCCAGGCCCTGGACCTGACTCATTTTAACTACCTGCCTTGTCTGCTCCCTCGCCAGCTGGGCAGCCCCGGAGCCCAAGCCCTCTGCGCTCTCTCCTCGCGTGCCTTTCCCGCTGACCCCTCCCCCAGCCCCCTTCGGAGCCAAGCCCCTGCCCCTCGCGTCTCCACCCGTCCCCTCTCGCGTGGTTTATGGATGCGCGCTCCTCGCGGGCATGTCCCCCACTAGCAGGGCTCTCGGAGGGCGGGCAGGGTTTTGTGCCCATTTCCTACATGAGGACATGGGCCTAAAGCTAGTAAGGGGGGGGGGGGGAGCGAAGACCTAGAAAATGCCAAGAACGGTGTCCACCGGAAGAAAGCGGACGGTTGGCCAAGTGAAGAAACCTGTGTCCATCCCCGGGAGCAGCCAGAAGGAGCCGGGGCTACGCGGGTCTCTACCACGGGGTTAGGGCTCCATCTAGCGGCCCCCTGAGGGACGACGCCAGGAAACCTTGATGGGCAGCTTCCCCGACGCAGAGCAGGTGGCGCCGCCACCGGTGGGCCTTGACAATCACCTGATTGGCTTCTGCTCTCAACGCTGGTGTCAGGCCCCCGAAGACTTATGTCTCAGTCACCACTGGCGTGTGTGCTGCTTGTTCCAGTGCTGAGGGACGTGTGTCCAGCTAAAGCGGGGCCCGCGCAGCGGCCCAGTTCACACGATGGCTCTATCTTCTGTGGGGCTTCCAGCTCCCGGTTCGCTCCCCCCTCCCAGTCACTCTCACTGTCCCGAGTAACTCCTCTGGGAAGGCCCACGCGACCAGCCCCAGCACCCAGCGGGGCCCCCAGGCGAGGACTGGCAGGGGCCCAGGCCCCAAGGAAAGCTGCGTGGGCACTGACAGAGCTCAGACCGACACGCCAGGAGTGGCGAGGGAGACAGAACGGGTGCGCAGGGGCCCAGGGGACAGGGAGCCCCCGCTTGTGACAGCTCCCGAACCAGCTCAGGGCGTCCGTCCCTGTTCTGGGCACGGCTGCTCCACGTGGAGAGCAGCGCTGGCACCCAGAAAGCACTCAGTGACCACCAACACTTCTTTATCAAAACACTGGTGTTTTTATCATACATAACACAAACTGGTATTTTCAGTCCTGGCCCCGGCTCCCCACCCCTCAGCACTGCCTCCAGGTGTTGTCTTTGCTCCAGACGTGGAGGGCAGGAGCAGGGTGGGCGGGAGGAGGTGCAGGGAGCCGGGGAGGCCCTCACTCTCTGGGGTGGCACAGGCACCGGCCCAAAGTGAGGGCTCCAGCTCCCCCCTCACCCTGACCCCAGAGGATACAGACAGCCCTTCCTTTAACCCAGGCGGGTCAGGAGTGAGAAGTAGGATCAAACAGGGACAGAATGGCTGGTGGACCAAGGGATGAAGAGAGCCTGGGTAGCCCCGCAATCGGGTCAGAGCCCCATGGGAAGGTGTTCAGACTTCACACAGAAAGGACAGCTGGGCCATTTCGGGGCCCCGGCCCTGCAGCCTCTGCCTTCTGTCCTGGAATGTGAAGCAGCAGGGGTCTGGGCAGATGTTTCCCTCCACCGGACGGAGGCACCGCTGTCCCTCAGCTCCAGCCTGTCCCTCTGCCTGGCATCCTCTTCCTGCAGAGGCTCCCCCAGCCCCCAAGCGGCCCTGAGCGCAGCGCTGGGCTGGCTGGCGTCCTATCAGCGGGCTTGGCCGCAGCAGTCTGTGGTACTTGGGCTGTCTGGCCCGGGGGAGCACTTGGGGACTCAGGCGGGGCCTTCTGTGCTTCTTTTCATCCAGGGCCTCATATTTCTTTATACCTGAAGGAGGAGGAGAGGGGCAGTGGGAGAGTGAGACGCCGGTCCGGTCCGCGATCTCCTGTGCCGACAGTGGGACAGGGAAGGCGGGTGCCTGGGGTCCTTGAATAATCGCCTTTCATCCTTGTTCTCTACATAGGGGCTTCCTCTCACCTCTTCAGCAGGGAATAGAAGGCCAGATTAAATTTAAAACCTTACAATATTTGTATGACAGTCGACTGCTTTAAAAAGCAACACTACATATCACATGTCATCTCAGCCTCAGATCAACCCCCTCAGGCGTTTAGGGAGAAGCGCCTCCATTTGACATGTACAGATGCGGAAGTTCAGAGAATTAAGCCTGAGGTCTTATAAGATAAAGGTGAGCAGAAAAGTCGGGACTGTCCGGGGGTTCTGGTTCCAAGCGGGGTACTCATTCTGCTCCCCACGCACGGGGACAAGCTGAAGTCTTAGGCACATCGGAGCCCTGAACCTCTGTCCTCTCACCTCCACATGAGCGTGTCTGCCTCTCCAGGAGCTGGGAGGGGAGCTAATCTGAGTCAGGTTCCTTCCGGGCCCAGAGCAGAGGCTTCCTAAGGGTTCGTTCTTTTCCCTGTCTGCTTCTTTTCGACCCTGCCCCTGCCCTCGGCCTGGCACAGGAAGGCAGGTGGAAGGAGCACTGGTCCCACGGTCCAGGCCCCCTGCTCCTCCAGTGCAGGGCAGGGCAGAGGTCTCAACGCCTCCTGCTCTCAGTTTTTCTCCCTGGACCCTGGATGAGGCCTTCCCTCAATAGTGAGCTGGTTCCCACGACCCACATCTCCCATCCAGACCCAGTCCGCAGCTCTGCCAGCTTCTCCTTCACAAGAGGAGAGCCAGAAAGGCCGGGGCAGACCCCAGCCCCTGTGCAGAGCCCACCTCTCACCACTGGCTCAGCCACCAGCCTGTCTGTGCAGCCTCCATGCCCACCACCATAGGTAGCAGACAGAGCACACCAGCCGGTCACCAACACTGATTCGGTTTTGTCCCAGAAGCTTTGATTGCGTATTGATTCTTTCTGCACACCTCGGGCAGAGGGGCCTGGGGACCCTTGGTCTGAACTTCCAGAGCACCAGCAGCGCCGGATTGGGTGCAGAAGGAAACCGGTTTCCTGGGCTCTGCCTCCTCTGCCCTGGGGTGTGTCCAAAGCCCTATTGCTGTCGCAGAGAAGGGGCTGCCGGCCTTGGTGGCAGCTCAGACCTCTTAGGAAACACATCCAAAGCACCAAGCTCTACTTATGTTGACAGTCTTTGGAAGTGGCCCCAAGGAGAAAGAGGAAGTTGGAAAAATCACAGGGAAACAGAGGATTTGCATGCAGGACCCGCTCTGGTGGCATCTGAGCCGCAGGCTCCAGGACATACTCACAAAAGTCATGGGACTCGAGGAAACTACTACCGCGTGGGGGTTAAGGCCAGACAAGAGCTGGGGAGACACACGGGACAACAGAGGGCAGGTTAGTGGCTGGGGCAGGGGCAGGCGGGCCTTCGAGGACATGCCCAGGGCCAGCAGCACTTTCCTCGGGCCTGCGCTGGAGCTGGGCTCAGGCCGGGCACAGGGCGCCGGGCACAGGGCGCCGGGCACAGGGCACCGGCCACGGTTCTGAAGTGAGACTGGGGGGGGGGGCCGGCTCTCCCGAGGACTCACCCGGTATCTTTGCTCAGGGCTGACTTCCAGGCCAGGATCTCTTTGTACACCAACCGGCAGAGGAGCTGGGGGAGTTTGAGGCCCAGGGGGAAAGGCGGACATCAGCCTGGAGCAGTGCTCAGGCCCCAGTGCTGGTGACCAGCAGTGGGCAGGCGGGAGGGACAGGGAGTGCTGGGCCCACAGACTCATTCAGCAGGGGTCCCCCATGGTGGGTGAAGTGGCTCTGAGCAAAGGGCTGGTGTCCCAGAGCCGCTGGTGGACAATGCTCAGGGGTCTAGCCTGGTGGGACAGGACACCCCACAGTATCCACGTGGGCACCCCAAGAAGCCTTACCAAGCAGGCCAGGATGTCTGCGGAGATGAGCATGTAGAAGACGTTGTTCCAGCCCATGGGGGAAATGAGCCCGGCCAGCAGGGGCCCCAGGGCCGCGCCTGTGCGGAACACAGTGTCAGAGCAGGGGACGCGCCGGGGGACCCCGCCCATGGGATGGCCACAGTCCACACGCCCCAGACAGGGCTCTGCGCTCGGTGGCCAGGAGCCAAAGTCGGTCACAGACCTATGGACCCGGTGCCGTCGATGATGGCCGTGACAGTGGACAGTGCCTTTGAGTTGCCCTTCAGGCTCTTGTGAGTCCCCTGGGGAGAGAGAGCTGAGTGAGGGCCCAGACCAGGCCTGAGAGGCACCGGCCCCGGGGACAGGCGGTGCTGAGGCTCGGAGTTGAGAGGAAGGGGTGGGGAACCTGGCGGATTCTGAAGGACTCTGAGGGTCTTGTCTGTGTAGCCAAGAAACGGGGAAAGGTCTCTGGAAACCAGGAGACAGAGGCCCTGTCCAAGACCTCAAAGTGACCCCTGGCTTTGGGGAGGTGGCCACACTTACTAGGTCAGCTGAGACAGCAGTGGTGATGAGCGAGTAGGGGCCGTTGACCAGGGCCCCGCAGATGACCAGCATGACTGCAATGGCAACAGAGACAGCAACAGGGTCAGAGGCCGGGGGCGGTGGCCAGCCCTTTCCCCGTGGCAGGTGGACCCCTGGCATCAGACCAAGAACCTCTGCTTCCCTCAGCCTCCCGCCGATGTCCCCAAGACAGTGCTTCCCCTGGGGCCTGGCAGTGCACGCAGTGCCTCACCTATGGTGATGGTGATCCCGTTCTGGCCAAAGTGGTTGTACAGGAACAGCTGGGAGAAAGGAAGGGAGGGGCGGAGTTACGCCCAGGCTTCCCATGGGCCGGCCCCCCCCCCCAGACGGACTGGAGCGCGGAAGTCTGGAGCAGCCCACTCTGTGCTGCCCTGAGATCCCACAGCTCCCCCTGCTCCTTTCCCTTCTTACACCCAGACCTCTCGCTCTTCAGATGTCCCAAGGGTGGGGGGCGGGGTTCTAAGATGTGGTACTTTATTGTTTCCTTTTCCCAGAAAATCTCTCATTATCTAGCCTCAACCTCCCGTTCTTCCCTCTGTCCAGAAGTTGATCAGCTGGTCTCTGCTTCTCTGCCAAGGGCAAAGGCCACTAATCCCAAACTCTCAGACTGGGTCTCTTTGCTGTGCACAGGGACACACACAAATGCATGTGCATAAATGCTGAGGTGCACCCTGTTCCGCAGCCATGCACAGGTACATAGGCACACACAGGTGGCCCTGAGGTTGTACGCACCAGGGGGGCAGCCAAGATCAGCATGATGCAGCAGGTGGTGGCCCTGCCATTGGTGTAGTCGGAGATGAGCCCTGCCAGGATGCCGCCTGGAACACAGACCAACTCAGCTGCCCCAGGCCCAACCTCCCACTTGCACGGTGCCCCCGGCCTGGGCCCCGTTGCTCTGCCCCTTGTGGGCCTGGGCCTGGCCCTCCAGAGCCCGCAGACATCTGCCTCTAACGTCCTCCTTGTAGCCACAGCTTTCGGGAAGACCAAACTCCAGGGCTATCTTTCTTAGGGCCACACAGCTGGGCAGGAGCCCAGGTCACATCCCACAGGCAACCTGCCCCTTCTTTCTGCACCCCCACAGGAGAAGAGGGGAGTGCAGTGCAGAGGCCGACCAGGGCAGGGCCTCACCCATGATGCCGCCGACGTCGAAGAGCGTGGACAGGTCCCCTGCCTCCTTGGAGCTGAACTGAGCTGTGGAAAATGCAACAATGTGATCAGACCCAAGGGCTCAAGGCAGACATCCTGCACTGTCCCAGCCAGAAAGCGCCCAGGCCAGGCCCACGGCCTCCTTCTTCAGAGGAGGCAGGGAGAACCCTGGGGGAAGCGACTGGCCGAAGTGACTTTCCAAGTGTGTGGCCAGACGCCTTCTCTGGCCCCCAACCTGACCTGCTGTCTTCCCAGGCAGGATGGCCTTGTCTCTCAGACCAGCCCTCCCCTGGAAGCACTGGGACCTGGCCCGGGAGCCCGGCCGACTGGGCACCTTCCTGTGGGGATAAAACTCTCCCTGAGCCTCGGCCCGCCCAGACGGCTCCTGCCCTGCTGCTGACTGAGTGGCCAGCCACAACTAGGAGGCTTCCCGTCCACCTGAGGTCTCCGCTAATGCACAGAGCCAGGAGGGAGACTCCCAGGAAAGGGTCCCAGGCCTTGCCCTGGGATTAGAGAAGGACTCTCCAGAAGCTGGACTGGGAGCCCAGCCCTCAAGGCTGACTCACACTCCGAAGTCAGCACTGAGACCACGAAACAAAGAGTCTCAGGTCCACGGAGCTGCCCTGAGGCTCCACCTCTATTTTTGCAAGATGCCCCTCAGATAAGAGCTCTGGGGCAAGCTATAGCTTGAGATTTGGCCCTGACTAATGCTCATGGTATCCTGTTTCGAGTAAGTACAGTATATGGCAGGCAGCCTTGGCCCTTGGCGCTCCCTCTGTGGAGGGAACAGCGCAGCCTGGGGTGGGGGCCTGGGCCCTGGCGCAGCTCTGAGGCTCAGGGACTGGGGCAGGGTCCACTTCCTGTGGAGTAGCCGCCTGAGTTACGGCACAGCAAAGACCCAGGCCAAATGGACATGAACATCCTTTTCAACCACAAGGGGGACTCTCCTCCTCTGTCCATCCCTGGATGGGGCAGAGGTGGGAAGAGCAGTTTGTGGGGTGGGCAGGGCAGAGTCCCCTGAGGCTGCAGGCAGCCCCTGCGAGAGGAGAGCAGTGGGTGGCTCCCCGGGCCTCTTCCTGCAGTTGGGAGAAACTCTCCGAGGCGATCAAGAGGCGGGCCTTGTCTAGTACCCTCTGCTGCCACCCCTCAGTGGGCAGAGAAGGCGGGGGCAGGGGTCTCTCCTACACAGAACAGTAGAGAAGTTAGGGAGGGTTACAGGACAGAGCTCAGAGTCCGACTCCCAGTTCCAAGGGGGGGGGGGGGGGAAGAGGTGGCTGGAATCAGGGTGTCAGGGGCAGCATACAAGGCTCAACGTTCCATTTAAAGACAAAAATCTCTTCTTGCCCTACAAGCGGTTCGGCGGGGATCCCAGACTCATCTGCATCACATAGTAGGTTTCCTGTCGGACCAGAGACCCTGCCTCACCTTTTCCTCCCCTGGGACTTACCCACGTTGAAGATGTAGAGGGGCAGCCAGTAGAGGAAGGTGTAGCTGACCAGCTTGGCGAACAGCAGACACAGAGAGAACTCGATCACGCCCTGGGAGGCATAGCAGGGGGTTCGGTGAAGAGGGCGCTCCCCAAGGGGCAGCGGGGCACCTGCCACCCCCCACCCACAAAGCCCCTCAGGCCACACCCACTCTTGGTAAAAGCACTGGGCCTGTGGCCCCAATGCTGCGGCAAGACAAGCCTCCCCCGACCCCACCCCACGCATCTCTTGTAAAGAAACCCTGGACACCATAAGTCCCCCTGAGCATCCCCATTTCCTGGTGTCCTGCAGAAAAATCTAGAGAACCTCTTTCTTCCCTCCACCCCTCAACTCCTCACCGGGATCATGAGTGCCCCCCAAAAGCTGATGGCAGCCGGCTGAGCGCTCGGCTCCTTGGAGGATCCCGCCGCCTCCAGGCTGCGCTCCTGGTGAGAGTAGGGGTTACTCCCAGGGTCCTCGGGGTTGTTCTGATTTTCTTCCAGCTCACCCTGAACAGACATGAGGCCCTGCTGTGGGCACAGCCGTGTGCCACCTCCTGCCAGCTAGAGGGATGGCCCGCCCTGCCTGAGAGGCAGAGGCTCCAGAGTGGGAAGGGGTGCGTGTCCCTCCCCTGGGCTGGACTAACCACCTGCAGGCCCCTTGGGCTGGTAAGGTGCCAACCCAAGGGCCTGGCATTGGCCCTAAGAAGTATCCGTGGGCTCAGGGCTTCCCCTTCTCACCCCCTAGTCCTGTCTGGGGGTTGAATGGGGGCCAGGGCACAGGTGGGGGGGCTCCCACTCACGTGGTGCTGAGGGGGGCTGCAGTCCACATCTTCTGGGTCTAAAAATGAAAACCTTCTAAGAAGCCTTCCTCAGGTTGGGCCCTCCCCCTTGCACTGGCACTAGTCCCCTGTCCCAAATTGGCCTCAGGAGAGAGTGGGAACAGGGTGAGGGGGTGTGTACCGGGAGACCACCTGCCAGGCCTGGCCCTACTGCCCACCCAGGGACTTCCGTTCTCCCAATACAAAGCGGCCCCACCACCCAGCCAGGCTAACTCTCAGGCTGTCAGGGAGCGGGGCTAACAACAGCCAATGTGGGGGTGTCCTGTCCACCCCACCTTCCCCTTTTTACCCCTCAGATCCAGCCAGCATGTGCCACGCACTGACTAGGAGCCAGGCATTTGAACTACCCGTGCTGCTCACCCCCTCACCTGCCCTGGGAAAGGCGTGCTGTCAGTCCCATCTACACATGGGAACGCTGAGGCTCAGAGAGGCCGCTCGTCCTGCATGGAGTCACACAGCCGGCCCCGGCCCCATGACCCTTACACTTCCCACCAGAGCCAACTGCCCTCTCCCAGCATGAGGGCCCGGGAAGGGGGTCCGCTCACACTCAATGAGGAAGAGGAAGGTGAAGACTCCCATGGCGGCGATGATGATGCCTGGCACCACGAAGGACAGGCCCCAGGGCCCGCTCACCCAGACGCCGGCGAGCAGGGTGCCCACAATGTTGCCCACGGATGTGTGGGAATTCCAGATGCCCATGATGAAGCCCCGCCTGGAGGGAGGGGGAGGGGAGGAGGGCAGAAAAAATAAAAAGGCAACCCAGGGTTCCCCTGGCTGCTCTTGCCAGGCGCAGGAAGCTGTCCTGGCTGCGGACAGCCTCCGAGCCGGGACCGGGGGAAGGACGGCTGGGACCCAGCGCGGGGCAGCCGGGCCTGCGGTCCCTCAGCAGCACAGCACGCAGGGCTTCCCAGCAGAGCTCTTGTTCTCCTCAGGGGTCAAGCCCTCAGCCCCTCTCTTCTCTGTGTTCCCCGAGGCTGTGACTCTTAAAGCACCAGTCCTCCCCTCCCCACCCCCAGCCACTTCGGCAGTGTCTGGAGAGTTTTGACTGGCACTGCCTGGGGTGTGCTAGTGGCCCCGTGGGTGGGGATGGGGGGTGGGGGATGGGGGGGAGGATGCTGCTCCACATCCGCAAGGCACAGGACGGCCCACAGCTGAGAACCGTGCAGCCCGGAGTGTGAAGAGTGTCAAGGGCGAGAAAGGCTTCTCAAAAGCAACTTTTTTTTTTTTGCACAAAAGCCAGTTCAAGAAAAAAGAATACAGTTTTACAGGCTTCATTTATGCTGTTAGGAGAAATGGAAATTCATTTAGTATGAGGAAAAGCATAACTAAGGTTGTGTTTTATGCCTTAAAACCTTGTCAGTGGGAGATCAATACTGCTTTCTGGTCACTAAAATGTTTATCTCACTCAGCATGTAAAAGCCAGCAGAATGCAGACAAGTTTCTCATTTTCCCCCTGAAATCACATGAGGGAGCCCTGAGTGACCCCCTCACTCCCCCCACCCTCCCAGGGCGTCCCCTGCTCACACTCCTGTCACACTCACTTCCCCTTTCCAAACCAGTTGCCAACACAGGTCACAACCGAGGGCCAGCCCGTGGTCTGGACGAGGCCATTACAGATCTGCGGGGAGAGAAGCAGCAGGTGAGACAGGCCCAGTGTGCTGCCTCGTCTCTGCTGCGACCCAGCCCGGGTTGAGGAGGGTCAGTGTCAGGGTTGAGGGGCCCCCGCGGACCACCACACAAGCTCCCCTCTCCCCTCGAACACATACACACCCCCTCTGCGCCCTCTGGCCCAGACCCTTGGCTGCAGAGACCCGGTCCCTCCAGCATGGTGAGTGAGTGACACCAGGGCGGGGCTCAGGGCTGACAGGAGGGAGCAGAAGCCCAGCCTGGGAGGTGGGAGTCGGCCGGTGGAGCACCGCAGAGGAGCAGCGGGAAGGACCAGAATCTTTCTGTGATGGAAACGAGAGGCCAAAAGCAAGACGGAGGCTCATACCTGAATGACCACAAAGTACCAGAGCTCGTGGATGTCCCAGAAATATGCCATGCCCAGGAGTGAGGTGAAAAGGCCGCTGAGCAGCATTCCAGCCGTAAGGTAATAACGCAGGGGCAGCCGCTCCCCAAAAATCCCACTGGAGAAGACAGAGTCAGGTTTGTGGTTAATCCCCGCTGCCTGCACCCTTCCACCCCCTGCCTCCATTTCTTCCCTGACCACAGCACAGGAGCGACCCCGACCGAGGTGGCCCCAGCCAGAGACAGCCTCTGTCCTGCACTCACTAGACTTCTCTGCTTTACCTGAAACTGCTGCCCACACTCCTGGAGGTGTTCTTCCCACCGCCTGTTTGATTGTACTGTTGCCAGTCTCAGCCCCTACCCCTGGCTGACCACAGCTTCTCATTGACTTCCCTCCGGGGCAGTGAGGGATTGAACCCGCGACCTTCACAGTGTATGGGGACAACACTCCAACCAGCGGAGCCACCCAGCCAGGGCTCGAGGAGCAGTCTCTCGCGGCACTTTTGTGTTTTAACTGCCACCGCGTGCACATCCTCAGTCTGTTCTCTCCCTCCTCCGGGGCAGCAGCACAGCATACAGATCCCCTCTGGACATCACGACTGGGGGCCCCAAACGCTTGAAACTCAAAACACTAAGACTGAACTCCTCTGCCTCCTTCTCCAACTTAGCCCCTTTCCCTGTGCCCGCATTGGAATGAATGGTAGCCCCGTTCTTGGCCACGCAGGCCAGAAGCAACAGAGTTACCTCAGTTTCCTGCTTCTCCTTCCCACCCTTCATGTTCAATTTCAAAGGTCTACCTATTCTACTCTTTCTAAAAAATTGATTTGAGAGGATAGAGAGAGAGAGAGACCATGATGCACTGTTCCATTCATTTATGCCCTCATTGGCTGATTTTTGTGTGTTTCCTGACCAGGGATTGAACCTGCAACCTTAGCATGTGCAGATGACACCAGTAGACAGAGCCACCTGCCGGAAGACCCATTCTTCTCTGAAAGAGCTCCCCAGTGTGCGGTCTCCTTCCCGTCCCTATTACCACCGCTCCCTCTCAAGTGCTCCTCAAAGCTCAGCTGGACTCTTACCAACCTGTTTCTTAGCACAACGACCAGGCCTTCAGTCTCGCCCTCCCTTAAACTTCCTTTGGTCCCCTGCGGAGTGATCTGTCTGTAACACGAACCTGAGCAACGCCCTTCAGCCCACCTCCCGCAGACCTGGCACTAACCCCGCCCACCCACAGAACCTGCCGCTTCACGTCCTCACGCCCCTCACGCCCCACGTCCGCCTCGCCTCCCTCCACTGACCGCTCTGCAGCAGTGCAAACAGGATCTCGTTCCCGCAGCCTTCCCTCATCCCTCTTCTCTACCCCGGCTGGGACAAGTAACCACCTCTGAGCCACCAGAGCGCCCTTTCCAAGCAAAAGAGCCCCTGAAAGCGGGAGTCAGCAGGTGAAGGAGCAGACTTGGCGACCCCGGAAGGAACGACAACGGCTGCACATTGATCACACACGCAGAAGCCTTGGTCTCGTTTCCATCTGGGGAGCCACCGGCTCTTTCACTTTGACCCCGTGCCCCCTGTTAATCAAGGGGAGGCAGCAGCTCTGAACCAGCCACCCCGCTCTGCCTCTCTCTTACCTGATAAACATGCCGATGGCATAGGCCACAAGGAAGGCATCGTCCACGCCCCCCAGTAACTCCTTGTAGTTGTTCTGGTCTGAAAGCAGATGGCAGAGACGAGGCTGGTGGCTCGGCTGCCCCTGCCCGCAGGCCTTTCTGGCCGTGGACAACCCCTCCCTGGGGAGGGGAGCAGGGGATGGGGAAGCAGCTGGCCCCTTTCTTACCAAACGGAGACCAGTTGCACCACGTGGTGTCGTTGGCATCGTGGGTGGCATTGGGGGGCTGGATTATCTCTGAGCAGTTCTGGTGTAAACGGCTCTGGACAGGCAATGGGATGCACAGGTCAGGGGCCCCAAAGCCCATTCAGCCCGGAGAAGAGCGAGCAACCCTGCTCCCCAGCCACACCAGCACCATGGCCTCCCCACCGGACTCTGCTCCTGCCTCTGGGGCCTCCTCCTGCAGGAACTGGCTACAGGGACAGGCAGCCGCATCACTCGCTCAGTGAAGGCAACACAGAGAGCCCAGGTCCCTCACTCTCCCCACCCACCCATAGTCACTAACACTGCTGTCTCGGTGAATTAACTCACGAGGAGCGCCTACGAAAGTTCTCTGGAAAAACAGAGCCACTGAAAGGGGGAGCCAGACAGTGAAGGGGCGGCTCAGCGATCACGGAAGAAGGATGGCCATGGGCTGAGTGCCACATCATTCTGCCGCAGTGCATCTCCGCCAGGGCCCAGGGTCTCCCGGGCTCTTCCCCACCCCAGGCCAGCCTCACCTTCACCACACTGATGGGCTTCCTGGACATGTGAAAGCAGACATAAATTAAGAAGGTGAGCAGCAGGATGAAGCCTCGGTACCTGCAGGAAGAGGCAGGCATCTGGATGAGCAGGAAGGTCGCGGGCCACCTGTGCCCACTCTGGCAGCCCCAGGGCCTGGGCACCCCCAACTCTCCACCTCCGGGCTCTCCTTCAGACACAAGTGCCTTGCGCAGAGGCCACAGGGAAGGCAGGAACAGATGCCAGAGGCCAGGAAGCTCAGGGAGCCCTGTCTCCTGGTGCCGGCGTCTGAGTGCTTCCCACAGGGCGGGGGGCCCAGCACCCTGGCCGACGCCGGCGTGTTCCTCCTGCTCTTGCCCCTCAGTGTCCATCTGGCCTCAGTGTGGTTGGGGTGCCCCGTGTATGTGTGTGTGAGAGAGATGGGGGTGAGGAGTTGAAGTCTTTTATTTTTTTAAATATTTTATTTATTTATTTTTATAGAGAGAGGGAAAGGGAGGGAGACAAACATCAATGTGTAGTTGCCTCTCATGCACCCCCCACTGGGAACCTGGCCTGCAACCCAGACATGTGCCCAGACTGACGATTGAACTGGCGACACGTTAGTTCACCGCAGGCCAGTGCTCAGTCGCCTGAGCCACGCCAGCCAGAGCTTAAATTCTTATTTAAAATGCCAGAAATGATGGGAGCAGGTGGGAGGCTGATGGGGGAGGAGGGTCTGTGTTCATGGTGAGCCGGCGCCCCTCTCCCGCCCAGAGCACAGCAGTGCCCCGTGCGTGGCCGTGTCCGGGAGAGCCCGGACTGCGGCCGGAAAGGCGTGCCCGTGAGAATGCTGCTGCCAGTGTCCTCTTCCCCGCCCCAGTCTCATCCGCCCCACTGGTCAGCAGGCCATGCTTCCATCTGTGGCTCACACATCACATGTGCCCTCTCCCATCCCCCACTCCTCACCCACGCCCTGGTCTGGGATGGAAAGAACAAATGAGCCAGACACCAATGAAGTTTCCATGCATGCCCCCCTGCCACCCTTCTCCTGAGGGTCTGGGAAGGGGCTCCGTGCCTCTGAGTCACTGTCTCAGTGACACAGCACAACATCAGCTGGGCAGAGTCAGCAGCCGGGAGCCAGGAGACACATGGAAAATGGGCTTTGTGATGGTCCCCAGCCCAGGCGAAAGGGCCAGGCATTCGGAAAGACCCAAAGCCCCGGTTCCGTGAAGATCTCATGGAGAAGGGTAGGGAGGAAGGCCAGGAGGGACTCCGATGCCCTTTGCATCCCTCAGCTCGATGAACCTAAGGGGCAGGACACTGTGGCTCCCGTTGGCCCTTTCTGGGTTTTGCCTCCAAAGCCCAAACTCTGCCTCCAAACGTGTCATGCAGGCTGCCGCTTGTGAGATGAAGGGGTGTTTCAGCAGAGCCTGAATTTAGGCTGGGCGACCAGGCTCTTCTCCACTCTCCCCTGGACCTGAGCTTCCCACCTGGTTCTCTGTCTCCCTTTGCTCCACTGCCCCAGTTCCTCTTGTTATAACAGGGAAGATACACCTGCCCTGCTCCATTACCCAGCTGGAAATGTCTCAGAGGCTCTCCATTCTATTAGGAACGAAGTTCCAACTACTGTCTAGTCTGGCTTTCACGTTCCTCCGCAACCTGGCACCTCTGGCCATCAGCTCCCAAGGGTGTGTGAGTTCTCCAGGGACTCGTGTATTTTCCAGGGGATCTGGGGTGACTCCAAGCTGTCTGTCACACTGAGTGGCATCAGCAAGCTTGGCCACAGCGATGTTTTCTGGGTTCCGCCATTGGACTCCCAGTTCGGGGGCTTAGAGAATCTGAGGGGCATTTGGAGAGGGTGCCTGCCAGCCGTCTTCAAAGGGCAGTGGGTGGAAGAAAACCACAGCCCTACAGGAAACTCTGACCAGTGCCCCACCTGGGAGGCTGCCTGGCCTGAGGAAAGGCAGAAAGCTTTGAGCGAGGCCTCTAACTGCCTGGGCAACCAAACGCCAGTCCCTCCCGCTTCTTTGCCCCTGGTTCCCTCCTTCAGTACACACGGACGACAGCACCAGCCACATCTATCTCAAAGAGAGGTGAACACGATATTATTCTGCCCTAGTCCCTAGGTCCCTGTTATGTCACCATTAAGACTCCTGGGGCACAATTGAGCCTATCTCGACTGCCATGTGGCAGCAGCCACTGACCCTGGTGACAAATTGCACCTTCTCTGAATCTGAAAGGTCCCTTGGGCCCCAGCTCTGACTGTTCTCCCACGACATGCCCAGCAGTGAGGCCCCTCGGGCGGCAGCACCTGGCATTGCCCGGGACACCAGGCCACACTTCGGTAGACACTTGAAGCCCCTGAGGGGCCAGTCAGAGCCACCAAGGGGCTCGAAGCCTAGCTTGATTGCCAGACCCCCTTTCCCTGCACCCCCACCACCACCACCAACACACAGATCCCACTGGAGCACCAGGCCCTGTCCACCTAGGAAAGACCCAGGCCACCCTCCCTTGGCTTTCTCCCGCCCGTGTCCCCGGTGTTCTCCCTGCTCGGCTCTGAGCCCCCCTCACTGCACTCCTCTCCCCCAGCCCGGGAGGAGGGGCGGCACCGGGGCAGCAGACACAGTAATGCCACCTTCTGAGGTCCTGATCCTGTCTGGCAGAAACAAGACGGCTCCCCGTCCACGTCCGCACTCAGGGCTGCCACGCGTGGGCACTGTGCAGGGACACGGCAACGAGCGAGAGAGACCAGAGCAGCGATCTCTGCCCTTCCGGCACCTGCAGACCAGTGAGGAGACGGGCGGGGTTGGGGCGACAGCGCCATGAACGTGGACAGCCCTGCGTGACAAGGACACAGGGAGGGGACGCCGGGGCCCCTGGGGTAGGAGGAGGGTCAGAAAAGGATTCTTAGAAGGGAGGCTGTAGTTGAATCTTCCAGAACAAGCAGGAAGCAGCCAGGTCAACCAGAACCAGGGGCAGGGAGCGTTTCTGGGACTGCAGACTGTGTGTGCAGAAGCAGAGAGCGTGAACTAACACTGCCCGTCTGGGGAGCGCCACGTAGTCCCGGATGTGCCAAGCTGGAAAGGAGGCAGGGGACAGGTCATGTGGGGCCCAGTGGTGGAGGTGACAGTGATGGAAAGTTGTGGAAGGGGGCCGGGATTTTCTAGATCAGAGAGGTTTGGACACCATGCAGGCGAAGCCAGGGGAGACGCAAGGCTCTGTTTTGGGAAGCCTGAGATCGGCTTCCTCCCTGAAGGCCGGGCCAGCCCCCTCCACCTTTCCCGTTCTGCCACCCCCGCCCCGGGTGCATGGCTTCACATGGGGCACCCTCGGTGGTCCATGGCAGGGGGTTTGTTTCTACAGTAGAAAGAAGCAAGGACTTAGGACTCAGGCAAAACCTGGCTTTGCTCCTTACACCTGTTGCTCTTCTGAAAAGCAGAGTTGACAACTTTCTCACAGAGCTACTGACAGGTTAGGGAGATGAGGAAGCAGAGATGGAGGGGCTGAAACAGCCCCTGCTTCTCTGTTTTGGGAAGTGGCGAGTGGGGTGGGCTGGTGCCACACTCCTCTGTGGTAGGAGTTCCAGACTCTGGATCCCCTGGAAGGTCAGGGTCCGGAGGCCAGGACGCCCCCTCCTGCGCATTTCCCCAGGACACACACCTGGGCTGGCTGAACTAGCAGTGCCCTCCCCTTGCCTGGGGCAGAGCCCAGTGCCCACAGGTGGCCTGCCAGGGTACCAGGGTTCCCTTGGCAGCAGACAAGAGGCTCAGCAGACGTCCGCACTGACACCCTAATTGACAGGGGTCCAGCCCTGCCCTTCTGCAGGGGCCTGGCCTAACCTCTCTCCCAGCTCCGGCCCCAACCCTGAGTCGTAAAATCGACAACCAAGAGCACAGGAGAGTCACGAATCCTGGGGATGGGGGGCAGGGGGCCCCCCACGGTGCTGTGTGATGCACCAGACCTGGCACTGACTTCCTGGGACTTCCTGCCTGGCCTCCGAGTGGTGCACAGATGAGTCCAGAGTCCCACAGCCGGCTGTGCAAAGCGCACTCGGAGCCAGGCCTCCTCTGAGTTCCGTCCTCTTTCCGTACCACTTTGGCAGCTGTCCTGAAAGAGAGACCAAGGTGCACCATTCAAAGGGGACTGGGGACATCAGTCAGGTTAACAGCTGGGCAAAGCCGAGGCCACAGCCGCCAGACGCACAGCAGCGCACAGGAAGGACAGCGGCCGCACTCCCGCAGCACAAACCGCAGGTTTCACTTCTCTCTCTGCAGCCCTGCCTGCAGAATCCGGAGGCCCAGAGGGCTCAGAGGGCAAAGATGCACAGCGGGGCTTTGCCCAGCTACCCAGGGCGACTGTGAGGGGAAGGGATGGCAGCCTGGGTGCAGGGAGGGTCAGGCTGGCCTGGCACGAAGGCCAAGGACCACGGACGTGTGTGGCGAGGTCCCCCAGGCTGTCCCAGGAGGGGCTGACTCTAAGCCTTTGTTAGCAGGAAGGGACACTGTCACACCAGATCTTAGACAAGAGGCCAAGAAGCACGGAAGAGGTGACACTTTTCCGAGTCCCACTCCCACTCACCTGGCACTGGTTACTGAGTAACCAAGTCCAGCAGAGAGGAGCACTAGCAATCTCTCAACGATAAGCTGTCGGTCCAACTTACTCTTTTGAAGGAACACGATAATGGCTTTATCAAACATGTTAAGACTTTGTACTAAGAATACCTCTGATGTGGGAGCCAAGAACAAATTGTCACAAAGTAGCAACAGACAACAAACAAACAAACAAGGGCCTATTACTACTCAAAGGACCCACCACCGGCACGATAGGAAACAAGTAACAGCTCAGCAGAGGCGCCAACCTCGGGAGACAGGGAAGACGTTCCTCCCCCAGTGGCTACCCAGCCAGTCGTGCCTGGTCCCTGCATCCCCTTTCCTTGCTTTGCTGACATGCTGACAGTCCCCTCACCCATGTAAGGCCAGTGGGGACTTACACTCCCTCATCAGCAGACCCCCACCGCTCTCTGCCTTAGCCAGGGGTTGCTGGTAGGTGTCTAGGGCTTCTACCATGGCCACGTGACAGGTTAGGCTGGCAGTGGCTGCAGG